TCACATTGGAAATCATAAATGGCTTTAAAATCGGCAGGGAGAGGAGAGTGGCTCTCTGTGCGCAGCTAATGTCTCATATAATGTTCTCCTTGTTCTCTTCAAGGACACTTGCTGGTTTGGCTCTTGAGAGTTCCCTGAGACAAAAATCATCACTGTTCAGCTCCAACTGGGAAATCTACCAATAGTTTAACCTTTGACACAGTTACATTGAGCATGAGATGGGGGAGTGTGCTCAGGAGTCACTTCTGGGGGTGGCTTGGCATGACTTTAACTCAAACAGTAAGCACTGCGATAAGAAAAATCCCATCCGTGTAGATAGCATGTTTAAAAATCTGGAAGCAATCTTATTTCTATGCAGAAACTGAAGTGCATTTGTGCAAGAGCAGAATTTCTCAGACAATCTTTAGATCCCTTTTTGATTTAATCTGTTGGGTTCCATACAAAGGATTATTATCCCGCCAGGAACCGTGCCACATTTTAACTGGCCGCTTTCAGAACTTCGGTGTTTACTCAGAAGCCCCACTGTGTAATAGGGACATCATCCATAGTGGGTAAGTTTGGATTACAACCTTCAGACTCTGAAATCAGGAATTGCCCTGAATTATTCTTTTGACAAGGGTAATATATACACAGAATTGGAAGAGGCCATGACTCGGAGGCTAATTTTACTGATCCAGCCTAAAATTCTGCTTGCTGGTTTTACAGTCAAGATTTAAATTCAGCCTGCAAGCAGCTACGATTCCAAGTTCTTTGTTTGGGATATGTCAGATCAGAAAGCAAGCTGAGCTCTTTATCTTTTTATTGCCAAACCAACAGACCCCTATCCTACATCTGTGCATTTGGCATCTTTTCCCTAAGTGAAAACTGTAATTCCCATACTCTCATTGATCTGTCAGTGGCTGGCTGGGAACAATGGAAATCTGGAGGGTCCCAAGACTGGGGAAGCAAGATTTCACAGAATCAAAGTCAGCCTCATCCCACCATATTTCAAGCCACTTTAATTATTCTCAGGAGGCGTGCAAAATGAAATACAAAATTTAAATAAGAAGCTCCCCCCAACACCAATTTAGTGTTGCTAGCCACATTCTGAGTCAGCACAAAATATTTGAAGGAATTATTTCAGGTAACTGGTACAGCGAAACAACAAAAGGATTACAGCGGGTTGCATCTTCCAAGATCAGAGCAATTTAAACCCTTGCACAGCAATTATTGTAGTGATTTATATGTAGCTCGCTAACTGTCATTTTATCTCATGTTTTATCAGTTTACTAAGTTAAACCAATGAAGGGCATTTTTTTTTTAAATTCTTCCTTTTCTAGTAAGAGATTATGATGATGTAAAGGAAAAGAAAAGCAACTCTGCTTCTTCTGTGATATCATGTATTCCTGCAAATAAGGACAATCAATGCATCCCCCCACAAACGGAGCCTCAAGAGTGCTTTTCCAACAGAAAGGGAGCCTACAAATCAATTCCGTAACTAAAATGTCACTTCTCCTGCAAGCACCCTGTTAATTAGTGAATCTACCAACTCTTGATTCCGTCTTTATTACTTAAACAAAGTGACAGAAAAAATGTGAAGAACTTTCTCTGCTGGTTAAAAAGAAAAAACAGAGAAAAAATCAGAAAAAATGGCAATTCAGATTGCCAAGGGCCCAACCTCCTGAGCTCCTTCAAAGCACTTAGTAGCATCCGTCTCATCAATTCAATTCTCTATATGTGGAATATTGAAAAGGTCACCTGAACGGTATCTCCAGGGTCAACGTAACTCCCTGTGAAGAACACGAGAGGTATTTGCTGTGCAGGTTTACCTTAGAGCTGCCCATTATACAGGTCACTGCATTTTTGTCCTGAACAAGCTACATCACACCTATAGATTTTCCTTAGAATCATCAAATTGCAGGGGTAGGAAGGGGTCTGGGAAATCATCCAATCCTCCGTTATTCTTATCAGATGTTGCAGAATTAAAATGGGATGGAATAAGAGGGGAAAGAGAGAAAGAAGATGACACAAGGAGGGTCAGCCTGCCGCTCAGCATCTCCCACTGCACCCACCCTAACTGGTTTTATTTCTTATTGCGCAGCAAAGTGCCAACCTATGTATCTTCTTTATTTCCAGAATGCCTCTGGGGCTCCACAGGGGATTGAGAAAGATTCTCAGAAAATAAACACTGTGGGTGCCCACCTGCTCCCTCCCCAGAAGACACAACGGTCAGCCGAGCGATAGAGGAAGCACTTTCAGGGCTACGGGAGATGGGAGCAAGGGTTCCGGCTCTCAAATTTCCAAATATGCCCACCATCTGCCCCCAAGGGCTGTTTACTCCTGAATTAAAAGTGAGGTTCACTGCAGAGATCAGTCCCTGCTTTCCATGTTACCACTAAAAGATGTAGGAACAGCCTATATTGTGCTGGGGAATTCAGGGAGTTGAAGCCCACGCATCTTAAAGCTGCCAAGGTTGAGAAATACTGGGCTAGGTTGTTCCCTGTGGCCAGCAAACCTTCCACCTTGTAGGCTTTTTTGGACCAAAGTTGCTAGAAATAAGCTCTAGCATTGCCAGGCTACATGAAAGCTGCTAGAATCATAGAACTGGAGAGTCAGAAGGAACCACAAAGATCACCTAGTCCAAACCTCTACAATGTGCAGGAGAACTAGTTCAACCATCCACAAGAGGTAGCTCTCCAGACTTCTTCTAATCCTCCAGAGATGGAGAACCCACCACCTCTGCAAGAAGACTGCTGCCCTGTTGGGCAGATCTTACCATCAGAAAGTTCTTCCTTATATTTAAACAAAAACCCAAGAAGCTTCTAGTTGCACCCATTATAGACATGGGGAGGGTGCCTTTAATAACATATCATTTGATCAGATCAGATTCTCTGGAGCTCTAGAAAAGGCATCGATCAAGAAAAAAACCCAAACTTGCTGCTAACGCCCACTACTCTCACATCTGAATGGCCTTTCAGGAATTCCCAACAGGCGATTCTAAGTTCAGCTCCCTCCCACTTACCAGCACTAGCACCTACGTGACCCCTCTC